CACCTCTGATTTTGATGCTGTTCTGGACCACAGAAAGGATACTGCAGTTGGTCCATGGCCTGCTGGTTTATGGTCCCCATGCTATTGTACACAAAGGTGCTGCTCAGCAGTATTGCCAGGGCAAAGATCCAGGAGTCATTTTGGTTGTCACCCTGGAAATCAGAACACATTTGGGCCAGGATTATGTTTTATTCTCATGGCACTTTCCAGATCAGCAGTAGTAAACAGATGCTCATTTAGTTGAGTGGCTTTTTTTAGATTAATGACTTATAAGAGGAAAACAAATCCAAATGAAAATGGTTGTTAGCAGGACTTGGACTTTGAATAGTCTTCTGATTAGTGTTTTTGGTTACACTGATTCTCACTAGGTCCTCTTATGACCATTCGCAGATAATTGCAAAACAAACAGTCCAGATTGGTGGGCACTCTAAAGCCTTAAATGTAGTTTAATTTTCTCTATGTTTTTACAGCAAAATTGACTTATGTAAGAGTAATAATAATTATAGCTATTTTATCTAGTCATTATTATTCACCTAACACTTTCCATTCTTATTAAATAGTCAAAACAATATTATGAGGCAAATATAGATCGTTTGCATCGGTTTTACAGATCAGAAAGCTGAGGGTAAAAGAAGTGAAATAATTTGCTAAAGCCACTGTGTTAATAACAGAGTTTAGGAATTCCGAACATTAATCCTTAACTCAAGTTCTCTGCAGGATAGGACTCATGGCTTTTATTGTAGTTTATTTCTAATATTATTATGCATCAGTCTTAACTGGCTTAGCTTATAGCCTCTTGTTAATCATTAGAATTCTATCTAATGAGCACGATGCTCTTCTAGGATTCTGCCTTATATTTTCATGATCCCTGATTGCAAAATTGGGTCTCTTAGCACATAAACAGAAATAAAAAAACACATATGGTTAAGTGCCAGCTCTTATTTGAATAAAAATTAAAATAATAAAATTTTTAAAAAGAAAAGAAAAAAATATTAAATAGTATAGACAATACCTAGAAATGAGGGGATTGTCTCCAAATTGAATCTTTAATACTTACCTTCTCTACATCTCCCAGCCCCTTAGTGTCAAGCAGAACTAGGGTGTAGTTTGGTTTCTTAGGGTGACGTACACACCACATCCGGATGCCTTTGGTGTGAGACTGAACCATGGAGCCCAGAGAGAAGCCTTCAGGGGAGAGGAGGGAGAGTGAGTGGAGTTTTCATAGCAGACATTTCTTAAAATAGAGATAAATGTGAACATAATCAAGCTAAGGAGAGACTACAACCAGTATTCTGGTTGGTGTGGCTCAGAGGTTGAGCGTCAACCTGAGAACCAGGGGGTCATGGTTCGACTTCGAGGCAGGGCACATGCCCTGATTATGGGTTCCATCCCCAGTGTGGGGTGTGCAGGAGGCAGTTGATCAATGATTCTCTCTCATCACTGATGTTTCTAACTTTCTCTCCCTCTTGCTTCCTCTCTGAAATCAATAAAAATACATTAAAAAGAAAAACCACAATTAGTATTGATTTTACAGAGAAACAGGGAAATTTAAATATCCAATACATAAAAACATTCAACACCTTTTTATTATAAAAACATTAACAAATTAGAGCTAGAAGAAAACTAACTTGACATAATAAAAGTCATATATGAAAATCCTTCAACCAACATCACATTCAATGGTGCAAGATAGAAAGCTTTCTTTCTTCAAAATTAACCAAAATCTTTCAAAGACCTACATGTAAGAGCTAAAACCTTAAACTTCATAGAAGAAAACATAGGGGGAAAACATTATAATATTGAATTTGGAATGATTTCTTGGATATGATACCAAAAGCATAAACAAGAAAAGAAAAACAGTTAAGTTGGATTCAAAATTAAAACTTTTGTGAGTCAAAGGATACAATCTACAACGTTTCATAGGTATCCTGTGGAATTGGGGAAAATATTTCTTAGTTAAGGGATTGATATCCAGAATATATAAAGAAATCCTGCCATGCAATTTCAGAAAACAAACAACCCAATTAAAAAGTGAACCACGGACTTGAACAGACATTTCCTTAAAGGAAATATACAGGGGAAGTAAGATGGCTGTGGACGGGTCTGCAGGCTGCTAGATAGTGTGAGAGAGAACGAAAGGAGAGTGCATGGATGTACGGGGCTTGTCAGTATTTGTGAGTGAGGGACAGCTACACTTCAAGGGACTGCTGGGGACTGGTGGACCGGCCCCCCGAGACTGGGGAGCCTCTACAGCGGCTGAAATCTTTCCAGGAGCAGAGGGCCCTGCCGCCGAGGCTGCACCATCTTGAAGGGGAGACAGCTGTGATCGCAGAATGGCTGTGATCAGAACCTCAGCCTTACCTTCAACTGGGGAGATCTTGGATGCCTCCTGGGACCTTACAACCACAATGCCCAGGGACCAGTTACCTCATCTGGGAATCCAGGGACATGGGAACTCCAACCTCCCCAACCACGGATGCCTGGGAGGTCTGCACAGGGGGAGACAAACGGGAATTCGCGGATGGGCCGTGTGCCTTCTCATAGAGAAGAAGGAACAGCTGAATCAAAGAGCACCCACCCGGAACCAGCGAATTGAACACAGCTGGCATTGCCTAAAGAAAGGTGAGCTTTGGGATCCAGGCTAGGATCTAGGAGAAACGGGTGCAGTGGGAACTAGAGCCTCAGAGAAAGACTGCTCCCCACAAAATTCGCGGCTGGTGGGGTCAGTATGCCCTCGAATGTGGAAGGGGGTCCACAGGGCTGCTGGTAGAAGGGGATTCTAGATATTAACCCACAGCTGGACTGGACCCAGAAAGGCAGCCTGCGTGCAGAGCCAGAGTGAAGAGGTCTTTTAGCCCCAAATATTAATACAGAAAAACTGCTACCCAGGGGCTGTAGCAGAAATTGACTCTTGTGTGTAAATATAACTAAAGAGACTGAGAACCGAAGAGAGCAGAGAGATCCCGCCTGTTTGAAAATAGGGTTGTGGCTTAGGACACAGAGGGGCCATGGATCGCAGAAAACTTCAATACTGTGCTGACTACCTGAAAGGAAAAAGACGTGCCAAGCAGAACAGTGCAGGAAGTGAATGACCTTCACTACTTCACATTTTTATTTTTTATCTTTTACTTAAGAAACTAATTTTTTTCTCTCACTCAATTTTACCTTGTTTTTAATTATATTTTTATTTTTAACTATTAGTATTAATACTATTATTTTACCCTTTTAAAAAAGTTTTGTTATATTTTTCTTTATTTTATTTTGGGATAGTGTTATACATTCTATTTTGATTTTCTCTTTAGCACTGTTTTACTCTTTCTCAATTTTTCCTTCATGCCAACACTCTCTTCATCACTTTTACCCTTTCTTTTTCCTGTTGCTCTTACCCTATTCCTGCTATAATTTTATGCTCTACCCTTTCTTTATACTCA